AGAATTCAAGACAAGGAAAAGAAGCAGAGGATAGAAGTTACCTTAGAAAGGGGTTAGCCGAGCTTGGAGGCGGAAGAAGACTTGAGGAGCTGCGAAAATTCGGAAACAAGGGAGCAGAAATTGGGAACCCTAAATTAGAGGGAGAACCCGGCATTTATAGGAGAGACACCAATGGGGGGACCAACGAGAGACGGACACGTGGCAGGGAGCGTATTCCGTCTCACGCGCTGTGCGTGGGACGAAAGCGTAATGATGGCCTTTCCTCGGAAAATGCACCGCCGCTACAGCAGCCGTCACCTCGTTTCCTGAACCGTCGACAGCTGTTAAGCACCATGACCACGAGCGTACGCTTCCGCCAGATGCAATAAGACACAAGTATCGAGACACGAACGTCCATTTCGGGGCACCTATACTTCCTTATGTCCTGCGCATGCTCAGAACATCAGAAGTGGGGGACTTGTGTTGGGATAATGGCCCAGGCCGAGGTCCGGCCCATTAACCCCCTTTTTTCCTATCGGACGCACGTCTTGCTAGGACCAGGCTGGGCGCAGGCCCATGACCCTTGGGAAGAGACGAACGTCTGGACTTGGGGGGCCCAGGTTCAAACGGCCCATCACGACGAACGTAAGTGCAGAGGTAAGGGGCAGGACCACAGGCCCATGATCGTCGGAGGAGATCCAGTCCACATGGAGAGAATCCACCAACGGCAGGGGACGAACAGCCGAAGTCTCTTGAGGGTCACTTGGGGTGACCCGGCTCACCCCCTGGCGGACGAACGTCCCCATTATTTAGGCGGGAAGCCTAGATTCTGGCGGGAAGTGCATTTAATGCAGAAGATTTGGTGGTTGGGACACAAGCGGTCCGCAGGCCTCCACGTCAGCATAGCCACCTGCCCATTGGCGGGTATAAATAGAAGCATTTATTTCATTGTAAAGGGTTGGCAACTTTCTATTATTAGCACTCTAGCTATAGCATTCTTACTCGCAGCATTCCTACTGCCTTGTAAGACGAACGGCCGACGGAGCCTTAGCGAAAAGTATTGTATTAGGGAGTTATTAAGAGATAATAATACCTAATCAGTTACTCGCTACCTTACTGCTTTCCTAATCCATATCATCTGCTTGTTGGGCTAGTTTAATCGCATACTCCATTCGAAATCCTTGGGCTTACGTGTTGAACCCGGGGGTTGAAGGAATAAACCTCAACATTCACCAAACACGTAATTTTTATTTTCGCGCACTGAATTGTGTAATAAGCAGAAAAAATAAGGTTGGGTTACTTTTCTGGCTGTAATGGGTGAAGTTACTGTAGATGACCATTTTAGCTATTTTACATATAGTTTTTTCTTTATTTTATTAATAAAATAAAATTTAAAAATAATGTTTTCTTAAATCAGCAAAATCAGCCAATGCAGCCACTTTAGCCAGAACTTCATAAATTTCAGCAGAAACAGCCAAATCAGCCGTTTTCGTGCTACCAAAAGGGGCTCTAAAAGACACATACATCTCTTTAAAAATATATTAATACTACGTATAAAACAACATTTGTCATTATCTACCAAAAGTGCCGCAATTAGCATCTCTTAAATGCAAATTTTAATACTTCGTATTTGAAATCAGCACACATGACCAAATATACTGCCGTATTTGGGAACCAATAACGCTGCCGGTGTGGCACTTCATAATATATTTAGGAGCCGTTTTACATAGCTGAAATCGTGGGTTCTGTAATTAGTTCCCCCATCCCTGAAGCTTCTCTTTCGTCTTCAATGGTGAGCAGCTGGGATTATGGGCTTCTCTATCTCTAGATTTTTCACTAGTATAGGCCCTGATCGGCTTGGATTTTGGTTTGATAATTTGGGTGAATTGAAGGATTTGGAAGAGCCAAAACAAGATTCCTAGTTGCCAAAAGCTTTGAACCGGTACTTCTAGATTTTCTGGAAATGTAATAAACTAACACCTATAGTTTCACATTGATTCTCTCGAATTCTATCACATCAAATCCAATCCTTTTATAATAGATCCGGTTTCTCTGCCTTACTTCCGAGTAAGACACTCTGCCCGGCCTTCGGGAGTCGTCCGATCAATATTTCAATGGTCGGAGATTTCAAGGTCTGCATCTCGAGGCGCCACTTTTCCCATTCAACGGCCTCCCTGCCGCAAGGCACTCTGCCGTGCGGCAGAGGATCCCAATCCCTTTTATAACAGTAATCCCATTTGGCATATTCTAAATGACAGTTTAATCTTGTTTTTGTTTGTAATATTCACACACATGTTCAGTGATAAGCAGTAGACTAAGTAGCTAAATGACTTATATGTGGTTTAATTCAAAGATAAAAAGAACCTGACTTGGCTTTGCTACTTTCCACGGCTTATATAGTTAGTCGATCTTGTTATATTTATAACTTACCCTTTCTCGAATAGTCAATTCAAAAGTATCTCCAAATCATCAAGGATTGTTATTAACAACGACCGTTCTGTTGTTGTCATCTCCGATTGTTGTAATCTTTTCCTAACTTTTGCTGCTGACCTGGATATGGACCCTTTTTACGGCTCACCCCCAAATACTTCATTGTGCTCTCTCAAACCCCTCCCCATTTGAACAATAAAAGCACAAAACCATTCTGTGAAAAAAAGCACAAAACCTAAGAGAAGAACGGAGGCTGCGTAACCCTTTGTCCGACTTCTCCACACATTGAAGGAAGGTGAGTGTGTATTCCTCTAACTAGCAAATAAAGGCTCTGAGGCGAGGATCTATGGAATGTCATTGTGGTAAGAAGACTGTTGTTTTACCAAACGAGATTTGTGATATACTACCTCCGTTCTTAAATAAGTGCAACATGTGAAATTTTACACTATTCACATGTTCTACTTCGACTACATTTTATTTATTGATGTATTAATATATATTTTTGAAAAATATATTATTAAATTTGTCTCAGTGTAAATTTTCAAAAATTGCTCTTTTTAAATTTTTTTCTGATAGAGAATGATATATATTAATGGTCAAAGTTGTGCCTCGACAAGCGTGAAATGTTGATTGTTGCACTTATTTAAGAACGGAGGAAGTATTTAGATGTTCATTTTATTTTTTGACCTTTTACAACTATTATGCAGAGTCGTTTTGGTAACCCTAAAAAGGTGAATAGATTGAACTTGCAAAAAGTGGTAAAATTCTGACCACAACCGCATAACGGATGAATTGGTGAAACCGATTCAATTATGAATTTTTGTATAAATCATACGAAGTATATATTCTACTAATAAATAAATAAACAAAATTATTTTGTGAAAAAAAGTTGCATTAAAATCCCGTAATTAAACGTAAACGAAACACAAATATTTAAAATTTATTTAACAAAAAGAACCTGAAAAAGATTTGAAATTAAGAAAAAATAGGCCAAAAGAATGTGCGTCTGCATCTAGCATCCTTTGGGAGTGTTTGCAATTGTTTAAAAAAAGCGTTTCTTGGCTTTTGACTTAAAAAAGTTAAAATTAGTGTTTTCAAGTGACATCTTCTACTTAAAAAAACGTTTCTAGGCTTTTGTGCAAAAAATGACTTTTACTTTTTCTATTACACAAAAAACATTTATTTTACCAAATACTACCAACTTTTACTTTTCAAAATTACTCTTTTCGCAAACACTATCAACTTTTACTTCTAATCACTTTTTCCAAAATGACTTCCAAAAATGCTTTTTTCTAGGGGTGGGCATGGGTCGGGACGGTTCGGGATTAGGGTTATCCCGGTCCCGTCCCAATTAATAATAGCGGGACGGTACGGTACGGGGACAAGCCTTTGTCCTAGTATTGTCCCATTTAAATCGGGACGGGGATGATTCGGAACGGTTCGGGACGGTTCGAGACGTCCCAAACTAACAAAAAATAATCATTTGCAATTAATATATATTTGCATTTCTAAAGTATCATGCAGCAAAATATTAACATTTTACAAGTTAATTGATGTTCATCACAAGCTAAAAGCTACTATGTATTAGATAGTAGTTAGGTTTAGCAAAATTTGAAATTTAAATTTAAAACAAAGCAAAAATGAATTAGTTTATTCAAACTCATGCGTTCTAGTTGTGAGATACTCATATGTAGATATATAAAGTGAGATAAAACCTATGTTAGTAAATATTTATGTTAGGTATTATTTTTAATTTAAAAATTGGGCTTGAAAAACTAAAAACATGTTATCATTTATTTTTTGAGTTGACATTACAAACTAGTCACATGCTACAAAATCTATATAGTTATTACAAACGGGACAACGGGACGGTTCGGGATAACCTTCCAATGTCCCGGTCCCGTCCCGTTTTAAACCGGTATGGGACCGGTGCGGGACAAAATCAACGAGACCCAAACGGAACGGGACAACCCCGATTCGGTTTCGGGATATACCGGAATGGGACAACGGGACCGGGATTCTTGCCCGCCCCTACTTTTTTCAAGCAGAAACAATTGCAAACACTCCTAATTTGTACATTAGGTGAAAAAGGTTTCATTTTAGATTTGGGACTCGAGTTCGAAACCCGCTAGGCACATAAGGATTCGAAACTCAATGAAGTTAGTTCCAGCCCTGAGTAAAAAAAAATAATTAATAAATAAATAGGTGAGAACTCCGGTACCCATTTAAAAAATGTGGTACCGTACCTATCATTCACTTGATTGGTCCACATAGGTATATCAATTTTAATTTAGACTTAAATAATTCAACTGCAACATTCTGATTGGTCCATGTGGACAAAGGTATGGTACCTTTTGGGTACCATAGAATCTACCAAATAAATAATGAGCAAGGTTTCACAAAGTCAAAAGTGTTAACGTGGGTTAACGCAAGCCCCTTGTTCTAAACATACCGGAAGTAAATGAAGCCGGTGACCTCTCCACGTCAAGAAGAAAAACACAAAATCTTCAATATTTCATACTATCAGTCATCAGGAACTTCGTCTATACAACCGTCTCTTTTGGCTAAAAATAAATCTAACTCGCAAGATAATTTTATGGAATTAGTGCACGTATGTAATCCCTTTTTAGGGTAGATGAGCTTATATGACCTTTCTCCTATAAAACGTGAATTTCATCGGATAAAAGAGTATGATCGAATCTAATACTACGTATTTGCTATGTTTAAAAATGGGTATCAAATTTAATTGCGTATGATCCATTTGCTCTCACATTGAAGCAAATATCATGGCTGAAGAGGAAAGAAGCATAACCGAGCTGACACCCGATCCGAATCCTTGCCCTATTTGTCTCGGACCCGTGACTGAGGAGTCATACTTGGACCAATGCTTCCGTAAGTATCATCTCCTTTCCTTCAGATTATCCACTCTTTGCTTCACATTAATACGCATATGTCTATATGTAATAATTATGTTATACACATATCCGCCATCATGCTAAATACTCGGTATGCCAGTACATTTCACATTTGCATCAATTTCGCTCTATTTATACTGTCGCTGCCATTCAGGAGATGTAATTAGGTATTGAGCTCTGATATTTACAACCCTCCCAACAGGGGAATATTAAATAGAGATCGAGGGTCTAAGTGTTGTTTTTGTGCATAATTTCTAGTTAAGCAATACTTATGTGTTACCTGCATCTGTATATCTATAAGTATAAGTATGTTGCAAGTGGCATACTAAATGGCTGCAAGCTTAGGGAATGATAACTAGAGCAATGAAATGATAATAGATTTATAGTCACTGAGCATTTTGATGCTTACAGATAAGTTTTGCTACAACTGCATTCAACGTTGGACCAAAGTAGTAGCTAGCAAGCAAGCTACACAACCTGCTTCAGTAAAGTGCCCTGTTTGCAAGGTCTTATTCTGCTTATCTTTTTTTATACATAAATTATGGGTATGGGTTTTTCTAGATGGACATAGCTTTCTGTAGAGAATAGGCCTTTGGCTCTATTGGAAGGGAACCAGAGCAATACTGTTGGGAGATGAGAGGTCTACACACCATTTAGTTGTATTGCATTCATTAACTTGATAACCTTATGTCACCTTCCACATAGTTATACCTTTTTAAGTTAAACCCTTTTTTCATGGAAACGAAGCTTTAAGGATCGGCGAGGTGCAGTACTATTCTGAGAATGCTGATTAAGCAACTAATATTGCCATGTTTTTTGTGTTGTCTCGGAATCAATCTAATATCACCTGGGTTAAAGCAAGTATTTTTGGGAGGCATACTAGCAGTCTGGCACAGTATAAATAATGTTAAATTGTTAATTTATATGTACTGTGAGCCAGCATTTAATTGGTGTCGGAACTTCACTTACCTTGAAAATACTAAAACTAGACCCGGTTTTGGTATGCTTCTCTACAGGTTCAAAAGCGCTTGATTGGGTCAAAATTCATCATACATGTAATGAAACCTGAGCTCGCTATTTGCTTTTGGGCCTAATCTATAAGCATAAAATACAATTTCCTTTCAATCCTTGTGCAAAATGAAATGATGCTCTTTGCAGCTAAAATTTGTGGTACCATTTCAAATATTCTATATCTCTCCCAAGATGTCTTTACAACCGAGTGTATGCTTTAGACTTGAAGAATTTTTTATTAGCATAGTACCATTATTTTCACTTTCTGCATGTGATAAGCTTCAATGGTTTTCTTTTCCAGCATGGATTGTAGCATGATAAAACCTGCCTAACAGCTTGTGAATGGAATCCTCTTGATTCCTCTTTATGTACGGAAGTTCTATTATATCTCATAATATATTTTTTCTCACTTTTTAACTTGACTTGAGTGGCAATTATTCTGTGCTGATTTATGTGTCCGTTAATAATCGTAAATGCACAATATTTCCTGGTGCTGCTTTAAAAATTCCACTCAGATTAACATTCTTATTTTGCTTGGATGCAGACACTTAACTTTTCAGTCATACATGGATATGATGGAATTTCATATCAGAGGTATTATCTTGATCAGAATCTCGGGAATAGGTAGTAGCGTCTTCTCAGTCTCCCATTATATGAGTTTTGGTATTAGGGCTTTTTTTGTTCCAAATTGTCAATGTATTTACTTTCCCTTTGGCATGAGAGTCAGTGCTTTTTTCTCAAGATCTCACAAGTACAGATTACGGTGCTATTACACTGAAACAGGTATGTAGCTGTTTGGAATATATCAATTTCTCATTTAATCTTTTCTAAGTTCTAACCCACGTTTGTATCTATGTACTGTATATTATGAGCTACACAGAAACTTTAGCTGAAAAATTAAAGGTAATGCGATACTGGAAGTTGCACAAGTATCGTCAGCCTGCTCATCAGCTTTACAATTGGCTGACAAGGGAAATCCAAGCATTAACACAGGTCAATTTGCTTATGTACTGTTTGAATATGTGAATTATTTGATGATGCACACTTGCACTCTATTGGAAGTGTATAATGTATATCGGGTTGTTTTCATGAAGCTACCTGTATCATTCTATCACATATGTAAGGTCACATTTATCAAATTTAGAGAATTCGTTGGGACCTGTAAGATGAAAAGATGGGAAACATAGATAAATATTTCATAGCTGTTAGCTGCCTGTCATCCATCTCACTCTTTTTGGTACTGATTATGTGTTGACTGTAACAAATAAGACTTCTGCAACTTTAGTACTTCCTACTCCTAGATGAAACTACCATCTCATGCATTATTATATGGGCTTTCAACCATGTGCTGTCTTCTCATTTAGCATTTGCCTCATCATTTCATAGTTTCTTCAGCAATATCATCCAACTTGCTTCTAATTTAATATCCCCTTTTCCCCATAATTATCTTCATTCCTTTTTTTTTTCCTTCCCTATATTATCTCCTCTTTTCTTTTAGAGAAATGGTTCTCTGGCCGTTTCTCTACTCTAAACAGATTTTAACCACACCATCACTACTTTATTGAAAACCATGCAGATAAACCCAGAGGTTATTAAGGGACGGAGGGAGCAGCAAGCTCCTATCTTCCAATCTTGATGCATCTCCTAACTTCTCCTTATGGGAATGACATAAGTTCATTTGCATCACTGCATTGTGCATTTTCTTAGGGGTCAATTTTAGTATTCTCAGTGATGATAAAGGCACAAATCAACTAATGAACTATTCTATCACGATTAACATGCATGTTGATTTGCCTAACTGCCCCATGCATCTGTTGGCTGAGCTAATACCAAAAAGGCTAAACGCTCTTGTTTGCATTTTAAAAAAATGTCTCTCGTCTTGTATCATGGGGAATGTTGTCTTGATATTCTGTTTCCTAGACCAGCACTTTGTACACACCCTTTTTTCCCTGTCCGCCCTCAGCTGATCAGTGACCATAACAGTGGGTTTCATGCCAAAAGATAGACCATAAAATGCTAAAGTTTAAGTGTTGATATCATGAAGTTTGTTGAACGCTCCATATCTAATTTTCATTGCATATCTAGTGGTGAATATGTCACCACAAACTAAACTTGTCAGGAGCTACTCCCATTGGGCTTGATATTTAATCATTGAATCAGATGTCTTGTGATGTTGAATTTACTTCATATTCAGGAAAAAGATGTTGATATAGTGGTGCATCACCTAAATGGTGTTATTGAATCCTTCAAGAGGTATTAATTTGTTTTGCCTAGTAGTGATGAACTAAATTTAAAGCATTTTGATAATTATCTCCACTAGAACTCAGATTGCTTAGAGCTTTTAAGTCTATTTTTCCTTTTTTACTTCACCTGAAAATGTGCAGCATAAGTAGCCTGATTTGCAAAGTTAGTTTTGTACTGGATAGATTTTTCATCATTCCATTAGTTGAATTAGAAAAGGTGAAGAATATGAGGCATTCCAAGCAAAATTTAATGATTCCCATTTTAGCTCTTTTCCATCATTTGCAATGGAGCCAAAGATTCATTGTTTTTTGGCTTGAGAATATGATGGAATAAAGCAAAATGCCTCATTAAACTGTCTGCGCTTCTTTGTTATGAAGCAACCGTTAGTCATGTATTTTAGACGCGATTTTCACTATGGGTCATCCGGAAACAGTCTCTCTGTGCTTTAATACGGGGGTAAGACTGCGTACATCCGACTCTCCCTTACCCCACCGTAGGTGGGAGCCTTTGCGGTACTGGAGTAAATGAAAATGATGATGATGAAATGATGACTTTGATCAATGCTGTAACAATGCAGAAACACGGAAATCCATATGCAAAGGACTGCAGAAGAAACTCGACAAGAATTTAGAGTCTTGGTGTCTCAAGCAGCAAGGCCTTTCCTATCAGGTCGAGCAGATCACTTAGTCAATGAGATAGAACTGTTTTTAGCCTCAGAGTTGACAATCGATGCATTTGACGAAGTTTATATCCAGCATCTCGGCTGGGATTGCCATGAAATAACTAAAGATGGCATAGAGGAAGGAAAAGTCGAAAGCTTCTCCACTCCATACTTGTATATCTTTGATGAGGACTGATGACCTTTTTGTAAATGGTCCTACCAAAGTTTGCACTGAAAGCGTCTTGTACGATGTCGAAAAATAAAATAGTCACAAGAGAAAACACTCCACGTCAAGGAAATATACTCACAAGAAAGAGTTATGAGTTTATGACACTTGTGGCTGAACATAATCGTGGAGTAATATTTAACAACACTAGCATTTGTAAGAAAAAATGTTCTCAAAAACTCCACTCAAAATTGAAAATAGTAATTTAAATCAATCGGAAAATGGTGATGACCACACTTTCACTAAAGGAACCAAAACTGGTAATTTATTTACATGTTTAACCCTTGCTTTAATCAATCGTTTCAATTAGGCCTGGACTCGGGGCCGGGCGGCCCGACCCGGAACCGGCCTGGCCCGGCAACTGTAGCAACCGGCCCGGCTCGGTGGCCCGGTCCACCGGCGGTTCGGGTCGAACCGGCCCGGTGGTTCCCGGGCCCGGGCCTTCCATATGGTGAACCGGCCCGGCCGGTTCGGGCCCGGTCGGGGCCGAATTTTAATTTTTTTTTTTTTGAAATTTTTTTTAAGTCTTGGGTTGGAATAGGTATTTTGGGCCATTTGAGGTGGTTTGGGGTGGTTTGGGGTTGAGGGGGAGGGGTAGGGGATTAAATAGGAGAACAAAAAAAAAATTAAGTGGGCCGGTTTGGCCCGGAACCGGAACCGGAACCGGCCACCGGCGGTTCGGGCTCGGGCCTCCCCTTTCCTGGCCCGAGGCCCGGCCGGGCCCAGGCCCGAACCGGCCCGAGTCCAGCACTAGTTGCAATAGAACCTAAAAAAAGTGAATATCCATGGCGGAATTTGCACAAATGGAGAAATTTATGAAATCTTTGTATCAGCTAACACAAAAATATATTAGGATTCTAGGAGTGTTTGGGAGTTGTTTCTGCCTTTTCTTGTAACAGAAATAAAATCACAATCAATTTTTCACATGGTTCTAAATATCGGCCTAGGCGCTCCTTAGTTGTTAGGCGGTAGCTGGATGCCCCGATTTCATGGCTATCAGTAGGGGTGGACCCGGGCCGGTTCGGTCCCGGTTCGGGCCTGGGCCCGGCCGGGCCTCGGGCCAGAAAACTGGGGCCCGAGCCCGAACTGCCGGTGGCCGGTTCCGGTTCCAGGCCAAACCGGGCCGGGCCGGGCCAAACCGGTCCATTTTTTTTTTTTGATTTTGGTTCTCCTATTTAACCCCCTGCCCCTCCCCCTCAACCCCAAATCACTCCAAACCACCTCAAATGGCCCAAAATACCTAATCCAACCCAAAACTTAAAAAAATTTAAAAAAAAAAAAAAAAATTAAAATCCGGCCCGGACCGGGCCCGAACCGGCCGAGCCGGTTCACCTAAAGCAGGACCCGAGCCCGGACCGCCCATCACCCGGGCCGGGCCAAACCGAACCGATGGACCCACCGGGCCTCGGGCCGGGCCGGTTCCGGGTCGGGCCGCCCGACCCGAGTCCACCCCTAGCAATCAGTGGAAAAAGTTGGTTGGTAGCCTAGACGGTGGCTAGGCGACCTGGACTAAGAGGCCAAGAGGCCGTTTGGCAACACTATTTTTCAGCTTATCAGGCTTATTAACCATCTTTTTCACCAAACATGTAACTTTTGCTTTCGCGTGCTGAAATGTGTAATAAGCAGAAAAAGTAAGGTTGAAGTTACTTTTCTGGCTGTATTGACTGGAGTTACAGTAGATGACCATTTTTAGCTATTTTTACACATAATTTTTTCATAATTTTATTTATAAAATATATTTTAATTTTTTTTCTTAAATCAGCAGAATCAGCCAATGCAGCCACTTAAGCTAGAACTTCATAAATATCAACAGATTCAGCCAAATCATCCGATTTTCCTACTACCAAACGGGCTCTAAATTTGTTCCCGACCCAACTTTTCCCCCATTTTTAAAAGTAAAAACGGAATCAGAATCAATTTTTCAAAAGCCGGTCTCTCCCAACTTCTAAAAACTACTTCGGGACTATTTTGGAGCACCTACAAGTACTTCTGCATTTTCATCTAAAAACTCTGATATCTAGTTCTGTTCCTTAAGAGCAGATAGAAGCAGTTTTTAGTTTTAAAAAGCAGATTTGAACACCCAGGAAAAATCAGCTCAAGGTAATGAAGTTTTGAAGTCCTATGCGATGGAACTACAAGGGTACATTTTAATTCTATGGAAGATACAATTGCTTTGCAACTGGACTTTTACTAGGAAGTTATTCATAAATGTGGTTCCAGGTATGGGCAACATACACCAAACAGAAATTATAATCATAATGGTAGTATAATAACAATAGTAATGAATAAATTATAATATGTATTACTTCCTCCGTCTCATTTTACCTGTCTTACTTTCCTTTTTGGGTTGTCCCAAAATAAGTGTCACCTTTCCCTTTTTAAAAAGAAATATGTGGTCCACAACATTTCACTTTACTATACTCAAATCTCAACCACATCTTTTACCTTTTCAACCACTTTATTAAAAATTGTGTCAAAACCAAAAGAGATACATAAAATGGGAAGGAGATAGTACTAATTACTAATAATATAAGTTATAACAATAATAACCGAACGACATTGTAGAAATAATACACAAGGAACCAATTCTACATGGCATAGAAAGTTACTCACTGAAAACTTTTTCTTCTTCAAAAACATTCAAGTCTTAACCCCAAGATATTTTGGAGTCAGCTAACATGAATCGATACATGATATTCATCATTATCATCATTATCCCAATGCCGAAAAGTCTCCCACATATGGTGGGGTAGGGGGATTGCTGATATTTTCTTTTGGACTGTTTTCTGTCCAGGACCAGACCAGATCAGACCAGACTTCCGTAGTTATAAAATACACAGAGACTAGACGTTTACCGGACCAGACCAGACTAGATCAGTTCAGACCAAACCAGACTGGCAAATTTCTTACCAAAAGAAAACATCTTGAATATACGTAGCCTTACTCCTGTACTAAAGCTTTTGGCAATAACTGATCTTGTTTTGACTCTTCCAAATCCTTCACCGTTGAAGACCAAAGACAAGCTCCGAGAATGGAATCAGCTGATGATTTCGTGTAGATGATGTTGTCCAAGCCGGTGATTTAGTGTAGCAGCTGATTTCCAGGCAGATGACATACTCCGTATATTTTAGCAAAGCTTCTTGTGAAAAGAAGTAAAAGAAACCGAAAAGTTGATTATAATACGGAGTAGGACGATTGTTATGAAAAGTTGTGGTGACCCTATTTGAGGTTTTTGAGTTTCCTCGATTACTTGAGGTTGTTGACTCATCATGACCTCGTAAAGAACATCCTTGAAATGCAAGCCATCTAATTGCTTCAATTGATGTCTTCAAGCGAAGCCTATTTTCAGCAACTTCTTGAGAAGTGAACTTTGCAATGCTTTGTGCAATGTGAGATTCTTGATTCATGAGGGCTGCACAAGATTTTTCAGCATTTCGATGAGGAGAAGTGAGATCTTTTCCACTATGAGCCAAAAGTGAACAATTTATTCCATCTCTAACTTTCTTCCAAGATCGAAAACCAACAATTGTAAAAGCATTAGATCCTGGAGGTCCATGTTCAGTATGAAATAAAAAGCACGGTAAACAATAAACAGCATCCGCACTCGGAGAGTATTCTAACCAAGATGGAAATAACTTAAACCATGAAGGTTGAAAGCTCCGGCGATGTTTTTTTTTCAGATTTTGGATACTCTGAAAGGATGCATTGATATGGACCGGCCTTGATGTAAGCTCTACGCACTTCATCACGCTTTTCTACTGGATATTTCCATATTGGAGGTCTCAGTCCCGGATCACGTTCTAAGGATTGAATATCAAATTTCTCATTGATTTCAATTCTTTGACACTTTGTAGGACGATTCTCGGGATTTGAAAGATCGATGCTTGGAGATACAAACGGCTGAGCCTGAGATGTAGAACTTTCGGAATTCGTACTTTTAAAGTACGCATGAATAGTTTGAGACTTTTTCATCTATTCAAAAAGTCAAATAAAATATTTACAATCACATTCTAAGAGAAATGACAGCAAGTACAAACTAAAAAGTTAACTACACACAAATACACAATCTTTAATGGTTTATATAACTAATATAAGTATTAATAAATTCTTATTAATTAATAATAATAACTCAATTTCACTTTAGGTGGAGCATGCTATTATTTTTTATTCATTTTATTACTTATTACATTAATTGATAACTTATAAACAAATTTAACCAATTAGTCAATTACTTGATTAAATGACAGATTAACAGCAAAATCGTATAGAAGCAGATAAATATTTCTTTTTTGCGAGGAAGCAGATAATATAGAAGCAGGTAAATATTAGCCCAGATAGAATAAAACCCACAAAGAAAAATATCAAATTAATGAAGAGATGAAGTCATGAAGATTGAAGACCTAACGATTGTAGAGAAAACATGGAGTAATTGAAGAGCTGATCAACTGATATATAAATTCAAGAGACAAAAATGGTAAATTTGAGCACCAAAGAAACTGAAAAAAACGAATATGAGATCTGGTGACAATACCTGAACGATGGAACTGGTCAACTGGAGTCTGGAGAAGATCTTGAATCTGGTGAAGACTGCTAGTACTCCAAATTGAAGGAGATGACTGCTAGTATGCGGCGTTCTCCAATTCTCCCTGCCTCGAGCCTCTCGGCCGTCCAGGTTGTTAGAGTTTTCACCCGGCAGTCCGGCACTCCCCTGCGGCTGCGGCCCTGCGCACAAAACTGATACGAAGTATTGGAGTAGGCCGAGTAGCAATAGTGATTCTAATTACACAGAACTTGTGCTACTTCCTTATTGTAATTCTAATTGGATATTTGGGTTATTGGGCCTAACGGGCTGCATCTACAGTTTTGCACTCCCAGCTACTCTTCATAATTTTATTTGGGGGGGGGGGGGGGGGGGGGCAATGGCCCCCTTACCCTTGGTGGTAGTTCCGCCCCTGCCTATTTCATACAAGAGTTACAAGACTCTTTAAAACTTTTCTATTAAGGGAAGGATTTCTCACATTCCAAAGTCCAAACAAATGTATTTTCCCACACCGACGACGGATTGGATAAGGAAAAACTTTTTAATAGTCTAATGAAAATGTGATTTCAACACATGAACGATGTCATTCTTATTAATAATGTAAGGATGTGTTAATTGTCATATTCATCAACAATGTAACATGTTGTTACCATCTAATTTGGATTATAATCAAATAGCTTGTATTTCAATAAAGATGGTAATAACATGTTGCATTGTGATTGTGTAAAGTAATTTTTTAGATTTTTTTTTTTGCACCAACTATCTTCTTTCACTTATTTTATCTACTTTATACTTCCTTCGTTTTTTTAAGGATTCTTCTTGTTGTACCCACTTTTGTACCCACCATGTCTTCATAGACATATTTTTGTCTATGACCGGGATTCACAGACAAAAAGAAAACTCCTCACAGACATGGTGGGTACAAAAATGGGTACAAACAGATTTTTCCTTTTTTTAAATGCAACACTTGCCTTTTTTGGAAGTTCCAAAATAAATGCAACACTTCCTTTTTTGATAATAAAAATTAGCTAAAATGACCACAATAACCTCACATTCATTTTGCTTATCAATAAACTCAACCGTCCACTCCGTTCAAAATTTCTTTGCCACCGACGGGAGAGAAAATAAAACAGATTATTCGTCGCCTATAGACGTTTTGGCCGTTGTAAGACGTCAGCCGGTGCAAACTACCGCCCCTCGTCCAAATCCTCATTTGAATCGACATCACCGCCAACGCTCTGAAGTAAATAGGTGCTTCAGCTTCCGTCACAAACATTGACTTGATTACCGCTACTGGATCCGAAGCTCTCAGAGATTATAGCATATGGTCGGTGGTTGCTGCATTCACATCAGATTCATAGAAATTGAGAATAGGGAATCAACATAAATGGCGAAGAATTGAAGAAGATGAATGAAAGTAGCAGTAAAAGAATACGGTCCATTAGGTAATAGGTTGCTGTCTAAGCAAAAGTAAATACAAACAAAGGGCATAATAGGAAAAGGAAAATTTTCTAAGACTTTCTTAAAACCTGTGCCCACCTCTTAGAGCATCTCCAACCCATAAGATCCATTGTAGCTGATATGGCAACATTTTGCACAAGGTGCATTTACCATGTGAGTCAAAAATAGTAAATGGATAGAGTTCATTTGGAGATCTCTCCAATGCAACAACAAAAAACTCAAAAAAATAAAATAAAACAGCAAAAGAAACTAAAATTAAATAAGTGGATGTCCTTGCTCATAGGCCCACTCTTTTCCCCCTTGATGGGTCAGAAGTTGGAGACCGAGGTCCAGAAGTAGACCTTCGGTGAGACTGAGCTCCATTTTTTGGTTTGCCACATAAGCTTCTTTGGGTCTATTTTTTTTTATCATTGGAGAGAGCATTTGTGATTGGAAAGAGCACTTGGTGATGTGGAAGTGCAATGAATCTCTCCATTGGAGATGCTCTTAGGTTGCATTTAAAATGGAATCGGAGGACAGTATGTACTCCCTCCGTCCTGAAAAGATTGGCCAAATTTTCCTTTTTGGATGTCCCAAAAAGATTAATCATTTCCATTTAAAGTAAGGAATATGTGGCTAAAATTAATTCTCTCTCCTCTGCACAAATTTCAACCACACAGTTTTTACTTTATTAATCCACGTGAAAGTCAACTTTGGCCAACCTTTGCGGGACGGAGGGAGTATATGAAATTCAGCACACAAACTATGCATAATTGAGATGTGAAACCGTCAAAGTTTCATTGAACTTTGTATAAATTGAATCTTAAATTGAATCTTAAATTGAATCTTTTTTCATAAGTTCCGTCATCCCTATCACTTCTGACCTGCAATTCCGTAGAATGCCATGACTATTCCTTGTGGGAAAAAATGATATCCAATTTATACCCAATTTGTCCTAAAAAAATTATCACTTTCATTTTAAAGTAATCAATTTGTGATCATCTTTATTCTCTCATTCAACATTCAAATCAAAGTATGCAATGTTGAGTGGGACGGAAAGATTATGGGCCCGTTTGGTAATATCCAAATTAGCTGTGTTGACTGCTTCTATTAAAATTTATGAACTTTTGGCTAATGTTGCTGAATTGGTTGATTTTACTAATTTATGGAAAGAATATTCAATTTTTTTTTTAATAAATTAAAGAAAAAAATGAAAAAAATAGTTGAAATGAATTTTGGCCATTACAACAAAAAAAAAGTAATTCAACTCTTTCTTTTTCTTATAATTATACAATTCAAAAGTAATTCAACTCTTTCTTTTTCTCATTATCAAAATTTACATGTTTGATAAACCTGTTAATTGATAAGCCTAATAAGACGAAAATTAGGTTATCAAATGAGCTCTATATTTAAGCAAGTAAATTTAGCACACTACACATTATTTAGGAATTTCATTTAGACAACATTCAATGCATATTTGATCGCCCTTCTCGTTCACCATGGCACATTGAAGGTAGGTGATATCTTTATCGTTAGTATACCTAACTCTTAAAAATGGTGATCCAATTATTCTCTTGAAGCTACAACAATTCTTCGTTTACACGGCATTTGGTTCCATTTAAATGGATGAGAAATTATGTTCCTCTACAATATAATAACATGCATGAATATTGAGACTATTATTTATCTAATGCATATGGGAATTTAAACCAACATTAATATGATCGTATATATTTCCATACTTAAGGCTATTTAATTAGAATAATTAATACATATCGAGTAATTATTTAGACATACTTTGCAAAAAAAAAACAAATATTTGGTAGTAGATACATTCATTAAAATGTATAGTAAATATAGTGAATGTAGTAAATCTCAATAAAATTACATTATTGTAGTAAAATAATTTAATTTTTAAAATTATACTACGTATTATTTTAGCGGATGAAATAACTCTTACAAAACAATATGGAAATCTCTATGCTTGCAACTGGCCCACAACCAAACAATATTAGAGCTCTGCACATGCCCTACATCTCTGTTTGGATGGAGTGTTTGGAAGTGTTAGTAATGGAAGTGTTAGTAATGAAAGTGTTAGTAAGGGCTCGGAAGGGAATGGAAGTGTAAGTGTTAGACATAATTTTACCTTGTTTGGGAGAGTCAAATGAATGAAGTGTTAATAATGGAAGTGTTAAAGAAAGAGTAAAGAAAGAGTAAAGAGAAGAGATGAAAAAACAAACCATCAGACCCGTGGGAAAGACATTCGAAGTGAAATGTCGAAGCATTTTATGTTTTTCGGGCAAATGAGAAGGGTAATAATTGTCCAACACCTCAAAACACTCCAAATCGGGATGTTAAAAAAATGGACAATTGAGGTGTTGGGAAGGTTATTATTAACACTTCCTAACCATTACTAACACTTCTTAACACCTCCGGTTTTTTCTCCCAAACAAGTGTTAGCATCAACACTTACTAACACTCCATTACTAACACTCTTCAACACTCAATCCAAACATTCCTAACCACAAATTTAATTCTCTCATCTCCATTTTGAACTTATATAATAACATTAAAAAACCAACTAAATCCCTTCCTTCATATTTACGTAGTATACAAGTATTCCAAAGCCAAAATTGAACAAGCAATGTGATGGTGTACTTCAAGGCCACTTCAATTTGTTTTGGGAAGGAAGATAAACTAAACAGTTTAATCGAAGGTTTTTTCTTTCTAAGGAAAACCTTAAAACCTAGCTCAAAACCTATCTTTGATATGGAGTGTTTATGAAGAAAACCCCCAAAGGTAAATCTTATACAGAAGTGTCAAAGTATGTTTTGCCACTTCTCTTTTTCCATGTTGGGAAGGACCATATGCAAAGCAATTTCATGGATGAGCAACTTTGGGGGTAAAA